ATATTCATGCACTTTGTGTATTTGATTAATATTCCAGTGGTGATCTTAGACTATATAAGAAAAAAACTTTTCTGCCATGTGGTACCAGTCTTCCAATAAATGTAATATAAAGTATATTGCAATGTGCTCTCCTCTGTGGCAAATTGAATAAAAGTGTGTAATATAGACTGCACCGTGGGTCAGTGTGATAAAGAATTCCTTTCCTTCCTCAGCAAGCTGCTTGATCATATCCTCCTCAGCAAGCTGCTTGATCTTATCCTCATGTGAAAAGATAAAGGTGCGCTTTTGTATATACAATACGCTGTAGACAGCGGTCAGATCAGCCTTGTAGGTGTGCCTGCGCACACTGTCAATACTCGCCATTTCTCTGTGCGGATGCGTGGTGACATCACTGCCCCTCCCCTACGCGTCTACAGGGACTCGTAGCTTCCTCTGGTTCATGATTTCAATGCAGCAAAGGCAGAGAGTACAGAATGCTCTGGATTTCTGGCAGGACAGGTGGAACAAAACACTTATTGGTACATTTACCAGACCAAGTTCCAGTTCATTGTTAGGGTTTACATATTCTTTAACCACTTAGCGACCGCAATATACTGCAGCCATTGTAGGCAAAGCAGCGTACCTGTATGTCGCTGCCTACTTCTGGTTTTGGGTACGTGCATGCATTCCCCCCCGGCCGGCACCCCAAAGCTCTGTGTTAGTAAACATCTGGGCACAATCACAGGCTGGAGCTCCTTGTTGGTAAACAACACAGAGCTCTGTACAGAGGGAGTGATCTGTCAGTTTTTCATCTCTGCAAAGCAAGGATGAGAAACTGAGAGATCTTAGTAAAATCAGTACGATTTACACACATTACACATACTTAGGCACATATTTAACCCCTTGATTGCCCTAGATGTTAATCCCTTCCCAACCAGTGTCATTAGTACAGTGACAGTGTATAGTATTATCACTGATCACTGTATTAGTGTCACTGGTGATATCAGTTCCCCCCAGCATCAGTGTCAGATTGCCTACCGCAGTCCCATTATAAAGTGATGATGGCCTCCATTAGTTGTATAAAAAAAAAGTTAAAAATAAAAATTCCAGTATACAGTTGTGTTCAAAATAATAGCAGTGTGTTGAAAAAAGTGAATAAAGCTCAAAATCCTTCTAATAGCTTTTATTTCCATACACACAAATGCATTGGGAACACTACACATTCTATTCCAAATGAAAACATGAAGAAAAATATATCAAATTTGTGTTGTTCCTCTAAAAAAAAAATGAAGAAAAGTGAATATTAGACTGTTCAAAGAAATAGCAGTGTTTGTATTCTTCTTTACAAACTCAAACAGTCACTATATGAACTGAAAAATGTTTGAAGATTTTGCTTTCCTTTGAATCACTTAATTAATATTTAGTTGTATAAGCGCTTTTTCTGAGAACTGCTGTACATCTGTGTTGCATGGAGTCAACCAACTTCTGGCACCTGTGAACAGGTATTCCAGCCCAGGATGATTGGACTACATTCCACAGTTCTTCTCTATTTCTTGGTTTTACCTCAGAAACTGCATTTTTGATGTCACCCCACAAGTTTTCTATTGGATTAAGATCCGGGGATTGGGCTGGCCACTCCATAATGTCAATCTTGTTGGTCTGGAACCAAGATGTTGCACGTTTACTGGTGTGTTTGGGGTCGTTGTCTTGTTGGAACACCCATTTCAAGGGCATTTCCTCTTCAGCATAAGGTAGCATGACCTCTTCAAGTATTCTGATGTATTCAAACTGATCCATGATCCCTGGTATGCAATAAATAGGCCCAACACCGTAGTATGAGAAACATCCCCATATCATGATGCTTGCGCAACCATGCTTCACTGTCTTCACAGTATACTGTGGCTTGAATTCAGTGTTTGGGGGTCATCTGACAAACTGTCTCCAGCCACTAGACCCAAAAAGAACAATCTTACTTTCATCAGTCCACAAAATGTTGCGCCATTTCTCTTTAGGCCAGTCAATGTGCGATTTGGCAAATTGTAACCTCTTCAGCACATCTTTTTTTTCAACAGTGGGACTTTGCGGGGGCTTCTTGCAGATAGCTTGGCTTCACATAGGCGTCTTCTAATTGTAACAGTACTCACAGGTAACTTTAGACCTTCTTTGATCTTCCTGGAGCTGATCGTTGGCTGAGTCCTTGCCATTTTGGCTATTCTTCTATCCATTCGAATGGTAGTTTTTCACTTTCTTCCACGTCTTTCAGGTTTTGGTTGCCATTTTAAAGCATTTGCAATCATTTTAGCTGAGCTGCCTATCATTTTCTGCACTTCTTTATATGTTTTCCCCCTCTCCAATCAACTATTTAATCAAGCTACGCTGTTCTTCTGAACAATGTCTGGAACGACCCATTTTCCTCAGAATTTCAGAGAGAAATGCACTGTAACCAGCATGTACAACATTTGCTGCCTTCCTTCCTGAAATAAGGGCAATAATTGCCACCTGTTTTTTCAAAGAATGAATGACCTCACTAATAGAACTCCACACTGCTATTATTTTGAACATGCCCCTTTCAATTAGTGATTCAATTACACAGAATCAGCAGCATGCATGTCATGACTGTTGGGTCTGTTGGATTTCTATTACTCTACTACACCTGCTAGTAAATTATTTGCCATGTAGAAATATAATTTCTACCCAAAACAGTGATTGATCAGGTTAGTGATGTCTGACTGCTATTATTTTGAACACAACTGTATATAACATAGTTTGTAGAACGCTATAACTTTCACGCTAACTAATCAGTATGCACTTATTGGGATTTTTTTAATTGAAAACTAGTAGCAGAATACATTTTCGCCAAAACTTATGAAGAAATTAGATTTTTTTCAAATTTAAAAAGTAAAACATTAAGAGTTTCAAAATTTTAATTTTTTGTCATTTATATCACAAAAATAAAAAACCCAGTGATGATCAAATACCACTATAATAAAGCTCTATTTGATTGAACAAAAAAAAAAACATTTTGTTTGAGTATAGCATTGCGTGACCGCAGAATCATCAGTTAAATTAGCACAGTGCTGAATAGCAAAACAAAATGGCCTGGTCATGAAGAGGGTAAAATCTTCTTGAGCTGAAGTGGTTAATTTTTGTTGGATATTTTCAATCACTTCCTGGCTGGTGAAAGCGCTGTCTCTAGGACAGGAAGTAAGGGTAAAACCCCCAGATAACAGTAAAAACACCACAGGGGTTCTAAATGTTCCTCAAAAAAAAAGTTTTGACTGGACATATACTATAATTATACTGAGCATTCAGATTTATTTACCTACAGTGCCTTGAAAAAGTATTCATACCCCTTGAAATTTTCCACATTTTGTCATGTTACAACCAAAAATGCAAATGTATTTTATTGGGATTTTATGTGATAGACCAACACAAAGTGGCACATAATTGTGAAGTGGAAGGAAAATGATAAATGGTTTTCAAAATGTTTGACAAATAAATGTCTGTAAAGTGTGGTGTGCATTTTTATTTAGCCCCCCGAGTCAATACTTTGTAGAACGCCCTTTCGCTGCAATTACAGCTACAAGTCTTTTAGGGGATGTCTCTACCAGCTTTGCACATCTAGAAAGTGATGTTTTTGCCCATTCTTCTTTGCAAAATAGCTCAAGCTCTGTCAGATTGGATGGAGAGTGCCTGTGAAACAGCAATTTTCAAGTCTTGCCACAGATTCTCAATTTGATTTAGGTCTGGACTTAGATTGGGCCATTCTAACACAAAATATGCTTTGATCTAAACCATTCCATTGTAGCTCTGGCTGTATGTTTAGGGCCGTTGTCCTGCTGGATGGTGAACCTCCCCCCAGTCTCAAGTCTTTTGCAGACTCTAACTGGTTTTCTTCTAATATTGCCCTGTATTTGGTTCCATCCACCTTCCCACCAACTCTGACCAGCTTCCTTGTCCCTGCTGAAGAAAAGCATCCCCACAATATGAAGCTGTCACCACCATGTTTCACGTTGAGGATTGGTGTGGTCAGGGTGATGTGCAGTGTTAGTTTTTCTGCCACACATTACATTTTGCTTTTAGGGCCAAAAAGTTAAATTTTGGTCTCATCTGACCAGAGCACCTTCTTCCACAAGTTTGCTGTGTCCCCCACATGGCTTCTCACAAACTGCAAACAGGACTTCTTATGGCTTTCTTTCAACAATGGCTTCTTCTTGGCACTCTTCCATAAAGGCCAGATTTGTGGAGTGCATGACTAATAGTTGTCCTGTGGACAGATTCTCCCACCTGAGCTGGGATCTCTGCAGCTCCTCCAGTGTTACCATGGGCCTCTTGGCTGCTTCTTTGATTAATGCTCTACTTGCCCGGCCTGTCAGTTTAGGTGGACGGCCATGTCTTGGTAGGTTTGCAGTTGTGCATACTCTTTCCATTTTAGATAATGGATTGAACAGTGCTCCATGAGATGTTTAAAGCTTGGGATATTTGTTTTTAACCCTGCTTTAAACTTCTCAACATCTTTATCCCTGACCTTTCTGGTGTGTTCCTTGTCCTTCATGATGCTGTTTGCTCACTAATGTTCTCTAACGAACCTCTGAGGACTTCACAGAACAGCTGTATTTATACTGAGATTAAATTACACACAGATGGACTCTATTTACTAATTAGGTGCCTTCTGAAGGCAATTGGTTCCACTAGATTTTAGTTAGGGGTATATCAGAGTAAAGGAGCTGAATATACATGTATGCCACACTTTTCAGATATTTATTTGTAAATTCACAATTATTTGTGTTGGTTTATCACATAAAATCCCAATAAAATACATTTACGTTTTTGGTTGTAACATGACAAAATTTGGAAAATTGCAAGGGGTATGAATACTTTTTCAAGGCACTGTATAGTTATTATAATAATGAAGTTACTTATTGCCTTCTTTCCCATATATATTTCCTGTCTTGATGAAAATAAATGAAGAAATAAACAAATACTGTACATAAACCAACTATTACTTTATATTTTGTTAGAGTGTCAGAACTGCATAGAACTGGATTCTGGGACAATCTCCGGATTTATAATTGCTGACTTAATCATGATTGGCTTTATTGCCATGGCTGTGTATTTTGTTTCTGGCTCGGAGACCCGCAGACCTGGAAGAGGTTAGTTGATTTGTGTTGGCATAATGTATTGTGCTATGTAGGATTCACTTTAATACTGTGATTATTGGACATTTGATTCTTCCTTTCATTGAAGAGGAACTGAAATCTGGACACTTGTCCCAACATAGGACAAGAAGGGGGCTAGGTCTAACCACCAATATTACCTGTGGTCTCCCTGTAGCTGATCTTTCTCCCAATACTGACATACAATATCTTCTTCTGCACTGTCTCTGTCTGTGGAAGTGGCCATCTTGGTAGAGGCAGGACTTTGCTTTTTCATGGTAGCACTTCCAACAAGGAAAACAGTGAACAGCACAGTGGGGATATCACCAAATCTCACTCTAAATCTTCTAAGACTAGCAGGGTTGACCTCAGGTGTGCTTGAATTCTAGTTTGAAGCTGTAACTGTGGACCACAACCATAAGTGGCTGAGGCATGTGTGTACATGCCTCTAGTATACTTGCAGCTGCGGGGCAAGAAATGCCTCGGCCACATGTGATTGGCAGTCCCAGGTGACAGCTTCCTGGTGGGATAGCTCAGGTCCATGTTAACCACTTGCCTACAGTGCACTTATACCCCCTTCCTTACCAGGCCAATTTTCAGCTTTCAGCGCTGCCGCACTTTGATTGACAATTGCGCGGTCATGCAACATTGTACCCATATGAAATTTTGATCATTTTTTTCTCACAAATAGAGCTTTCTTTTGGTGGTATTTAATCGCCACTGGGCGCTTTACTTTTTGCGCTATAAATTAAAAAATGTGCAAAAAATTTGAAAAAAAAAAAAAAAGTTTATTTGTTTCTTTTATAAAATTTTTCAAACAGGTATTTTTTCTCCTTCACTGATTTGCGTTGATGAGGCGGCACTGATGGGCACTGATAGGCGGCACTGATGGACACTGATAGGCAGCACTAAAGGGCACTGATAGGCAGTACTAATGAGGTGGCACGGATAGGCGGCACTGATAGACAGCACTAATTAGGGGTCACGGATAGGCGGCACTGATATGCAGCACTGATAGGCGGCACTGATAGGTGACACTGATGATGGGGGTACTGATAGACGGCACTGACTGGCATCACTTCTGGGCACTGACTGGCGGCACTGACTGGCACAACCCCTGGGCACTGACTGGTGGCACTGACTGGCAGCACTGGTGGTTGGCACTGGTAGGTGGCACTGGTGGACGGCACTGGTGGGTGGGCACAGGTGGGTGGCACTGGTGGGCACAGGTGGGCACAGGTGGGTGGCACTGGTGGGCACAGGTGGGTGGGCACAGGTGGGGTGGCACTGCTGGGCACATGTAGGTGGCACTTCTGGGCACAGGTAGGTGGCACTGCAGAGTGGCACAGGTGGGGGCACTGCTGGGCACAGGTGGGGGCACTGCTGGGCACAGGTGGGGGCACTGCTGGGAATGGGTGGGCGGGGCTAGTGGGCGCACTGCTAATCGGAACTTGCGGGGGTCACTGCTGGGCACCAATCATCAGGGCACTGATCATCAGTGCCCTGATGATCGGTGCCGATCCCCGCTGTGACAACTGCCGGTTCTCGGCAGTACTTTCCTCACGATCTGACAGCGTGAGGAAAGTGCAGCCGAGAACCGGCACTTGCATTTTCCTGTGATCAGCGTGTCATTGGACACCGCTGATCACGTGGTAAAAGGCCGGTGGGATCGGCCTTTCACCACATCTCGTGATCAGCTGTGTCCGTAGGACACAGCGATCACGGAGATCGCCGGGTGCGCGCCCCCTGGGGCGCGCAGGAGAGCGCGTTCTGGGAGGACGTCATATGACGTCCACTCAGAACTGGGGCCGGCCGCGGTGAAGCCGTCTTTCGGCTATGCGCGGTCGGCAAGTGGTTAAAGTGGTTGTGAAACTCAGACATGAAATCTGAACACAGCATATTCCTCTAAAGTGTGTACTTGTCTCAATTAGGAGCACTAAGTGTCAATTCTGTCTACTGCCCTGTTCCTCTGCTATCAGCATGAATAACGTCTGATACATTTTCCTGTCACCAAGAGAAAAATGGTGACAGGGGGGGACCTCCAGCAGATTGCAAATGGAGAGATGTATAGGGTGATCTGGTATGGAAGACTATCTAAATCCAGGATGATATATGACAATTTAACTGTAAAATCCAAAATCTGGAGTGAAAAGGTAGGTATCCATGATGCACCCTCAGCAACACTCAATATGAGGGAAGCAAACTCTAGCAAGGATACAAGAAGAGAGAAGGTGCTTGTAATTGCAATATGTAAAAACATTACTTAGGCACAAGGAATAAAAACACTTTCTAGAAAGCAGTGTAAAACAAGCTTATCAGTCCCAATGGTAAACACCACAAATTCCTCCTGTGAGAGGTAGGATCCTCTGACAGCACACAACCAGCGGTGCAGAGAGGTGGATGGAAACTAGGAACTTCCGGAACCACTCTGGAACACAACCAGAAGTGATGTTGAGGGTGCAGTAACGCGTTTCAAAGCATGCACAGTTGCTCCTTCTTCAGACCTGACGTCCGGCACACTTTGCAGCTATTTATGGAAAAGCTGGGGGATGGAGCTGTGGCAGTATAGTATACACAAAATGATCCCAGCTTTTAATGGCACTAATATATACAAAGTATCATTATATTCAGAAATTAAGCATGTACATGCTGATCACTACAGCAAAAAATATTAAAAATAATAACAATAAAAACATATATGCTAGCGACCATAAAAACCTTGTAGAATCAAAGGTAATAAATGGATTGCTATATATGCATAATATTCATATAGGCTACACTAGCAACAGCCCTAAAAAGATGCATAACTTAGAAATAATATATTTCTGTGATTATTTTGTTTTTTATTATTTCTACGTTATGCATCTTTTTAGGCATTTGATTGGTGCCAACCCCCCAGGTGCTACCGCACATTACAATAAGGCAGCCCATTTATTTTGAATAGGCTTCTAACACGCCCCAATGCACCTGCAACATTTTAATTGCTGCAACACCCCAAAACCACTAAACACACATGTATTTTTTTGCATCAGCTGGGTGAATGAGGTTTAATTCAAAATGAATGGTGTTGCAATGCATTGCACTATGTTTCAAGCTTTCATGCGGGTTGGGCTGGACAGCGCGCCTGTTTGCACCAACTCTGGGTTCCCGAACTCGGCAGCAGGGGGTGCTTCATGGAGGAGTGTGTGGGGGGGGGCACTGGTGCTCTGTGGTGGAAAAGGGGGGGCACTGGTGCTCTGCAGAGGGAGAGGGGGGCACTTGCACTCTGTGGAGGAGAGGGGCACTGGTGCTTCATGGAGGAGTGTGGGGGGGGCACTGGTGCTCTGTGGAGGGAAAGGGGGGGCACTGGTGCTCTGCAGAGGGAGAGGGGGGGCACTTGCACTCTATGGAGGAGAGGGGCACTGGTGCTTCATGGAGGAGTGTGTGGGGGGGGGGCACTGGTGCTCTGTGGAGGGAGAGGGGGGGCACTTGCACTCTGTGGAGGAGAGGAGCACTGGTGCTTCATGGAGGAGTGTGGGGGGGGGGCACTGGTGCTCTGTGGAGGAAAAGGGGGGGCACTGGTGCTCTGCAGAGGGAGAGGGGGGCACTTGCACTCTGTGGAGGAGAGGGGCACTGGTGCTTCATGGAGGAGGGGGGGGGGGGGCACTGCTGCTCTGTGGAGGGAAAGGGGGGGCACTGGTGCTCTGCAGAGGGAGAGGGGGGGCACTTGCACTCTATGGAGGAGAGGGGCACTGGTGCTTCATGGAGGAGTGTGGGGGGGGGGGCACTGGTGCTCTGTGGAGGGAGAGGGGGGGCACTTGCACTCTGTGGAGGAGAGGGGCACTGGTGCTTCATGGAGGAGTGTGGGGGGGGCACTGCTGCTCTGTGGAGGGAAAGGGGGGACACTGGTGCTCTGCAGAGGGAGAGGGGGGGGGCACTTGCACTCTGTGGAGGAGAGGGGCACTGGTGCTTCATGGAGGAGTGTGTGGGGGGGGGGCACTGGTGCTCTGTGGAGGGAGAGGGGGGCACTTGCACTCTGTGGAGGAGAAGGGGAACTGGTGCTTCATGGAGGAGTGGAGGGGGCACCTGGTGCTCCGGGGGGGAAAGGGGGGGACACTGGTGCTCTGCAGAGGGAGAGGGTAGCCTTGAACTCTGTGGGAGGGGAGGGGCACTGTGCTTCATGGAGGAGTGTGGGGGGGGGGGGCACTGGTGCTCCGAGGAGGGAAAGGGGGGACACTGGTGCTCTGCAGAGGGAGGAGAGGGTAGCCTTGAACTCTGTGGAGGAGAGTGGGCACTGGTGCTTCATGGAGGAGTGTGGGGGGGGGGCACTGGTGCTCCGAGGGAGGAAAGGGGGGACACTAGTGCACTGCAGAGGGAGAGGGTAGCCTTGAACTCTGTGGAGGAGAGGGGGCACTGGTGCTTCATGGAGGAGTGTGGGGGGGCACTGGTGCTCCGCAGAGGGAAAGGGGGGACACTAGTGCTCTGCAGAGGGATGGAGGAGTGCGCAGGTGATGAGCAGCCCAGATGCAATTGCCCCTCTGCCCCCTGGCCCAGTCGCCCCCGGATGCTGGCCAGTTTCTCCCCTCCCCTTCCCACGGCTATAACTGCTGCTAGGGCAAGTGCAGTTGCTTTAGATCAGAGAGGAGGCTCTGAAATGAATAAAGCTCTTTTGATTTCTTTCATCCAATCATGTGCAAGCAAAAAAGGCTGTTTTTTTCTTTTCCTGGCATGTTCTCCTCAGATCCAAAGCAACTGCACTTGCAGTGCACAGCCTATTTGCCTCTAGTAAATCAACCCCATTGCAGTGAAGCTGACTATTCCATCTAGCCAGCAAGGAGCTGTCAGAGAAGCTGATGCAGTGGCCCTCATTCCGGCAGGTCTCTGCTGACATCTCTAGTCCTGCATGTACAGGAGGGGACAAACATTTCATCACTTAGCCTATGGAGGCTTTGTGAATGTTGACATTGACATTACGAACTGAGGAAGAAGGCCTGGTTTGTCTATCATTGATGGTTCTC